TTCAACAAGTTTTTATAATTTATTGAAAAATAAATAAAATGCAAAAAGAAAGTTATCTATTTTCTGTCTAAGTAAGTCGCAACCTAGTCGGTGCCTAGGCGGGTCTGGGCAGGTAGGCGGATGTCTCAGCAGGTCTAAGCGCCCTTTCTTAATTTTCAAACGCCTAGTCATTAATCAAGACGGTGGCCATCCGCCAAGTGTCTGCCTAGCGCCTAGGCCAAGCCTAGGCGGCACCAGGCAGGATTTTTAGAATAGTGCAATGAAGACGAGTGGTTGAAGGAAGTTAATGTTCCACCTCAAATGCGGAATAAGGTTGGGATATGCAAAAGTCCCTTGAGTTTTCAATGTGGGGCAAAATTTTGCATCTTTACATGCACCCTCACATGTGAAAATACTCAAATAAAACACGTAGACAACACATATCAAATAAACATGTGTGGTCATTATACTTTTACACATAAGCCAAATATGTTTGAATTTATAAATGATAAATACAATTCACACATGAATCTAGCATCAAACATACCATATTCAGATCAATGAGGATTAAGAAATTAAGAAACAAATAAAGTAATTAGGTTTTAAAAGAAAACATGCAAACACAACACAGCAAACTACCAAAACTGAAAAGCAATGCGTAGAATTAATGTGAGAATTGACCTACTCGACCTGCTAATCGAAATTTTGTCATGAATTAAAATTATTTTTTTGAATTGGTATTAAAATTTGCAAGTTGATTGTATGATCACTATTGGTGAATTGAAGGTGGAAAACCTAAACCACCCTCACAATGTATGGAAGTGGTTGTTTACTTTGGCAACATGATTTCCAAGTTTTGAACAAACGAATATTATGTTGGTGTAAAACATTAATCGATCAAAATAGCAAGCATTATCCTCTACCATCGTCATGAAAACGGTTTTTTGTTTTTGTACTTATATATGTACTTAAGGTTGTCTTATGTGTTCCGATGCTTATTCATGATGTACTTTTCAAGAATTTATCTAGTCGAACTTGTGTTTTACATTCTTAACGTTGTAGTTATTTTTTCATAATCGTAAAACTTTCCTGTATAATCAACATTTTCAAAAGAAAAAGAAGTTTGTATATTAACTTTTGTTTCCTTTTCTAATGATAGTGTGCTAGTGACCCAATTTGAATCTCCTACAAGTAAATGAAACACAAAACAAAATCAAAGGTAAATCAAAATTTGGACGACTTTAATCTTTTTCTTTAACTAGGTATCATTGGCTGCATGATTAAATTAGTAAGAAGTATGATTCTCTTCCTTTAAAATTTCTTTCATTTCTAGTTTGTTCTTATTTGAACGGTTACAATTAAATCACGTCAACATCAACATTTATGTTGACTTCTTTATAAAAATAAAAAAAGATGAAGATAAAATGTTGATTTCTTTATAAAAATACAAATAAAAGATGAAGATAAAAGTAAGAAAGCATGGAAGAAAAGGGAAGATGATTTGGAAGGAAGAGTATCAAACTCCGTTAGATTCGAGCACAATTTATTTTCTGCATTTTTGGGTCTTCATGTTCGAAATTAATAAAAATTTGAACAAAAATAAAATAAAAGTTTAGATCAAATGATTTGACTTTGATTCAAAATTAGATAATTTGAAAGGTCAAACCACAGGAAACAGATAAAACGGGAAGGTAAATAGCAGAGTTAAAAAGGAAAAGATAATACAAAATTACAAATGGTAAGCAGTAAATTAAGGAAGGAACTTGTTAGTTAATCAAGTTAATACCTCGCCAAATGATAGACAAGAGGATTTATTGCAAGAGTGTGTCTTTGTGCTCTGGAGAATCTGGAAGTCTCGGAATGAAATGGTATTTAATGGAGTCCTTGTTAACCCTATAGAGATGGTTCATGTGGTTAGGAAACAAATTTTGGAGTTTCGAAGTGCTAAAGGTGCTAAAGGTGCTAGAATGGATGACAGACTTCAAATTTGGTTGTGGCATCGATGATTGGGACATTTATCATTCAGTTACATGAAGCATTTATTTTATTTTTCGTTACGCACTTGTAGTGATTCAGAGTTCAAATGAAACATGTGTCATGACTAAGAGTCATAGTGCCTCATTTCCCGTAAGTGATTTTAAAGCTACTTTACCATTTAATTTGATACATTCTGATGTGTGGGGTCTGGCAAAAGTTACTTCTAATGGATTCCGTTGGTTTGTTACTTTTATTGATGATTGTACTCGGTTGACTTGGGTGTTCTTAATGAAGAATAAGAGTGATGTTCCGTTGCTTCTTCAAGAATTTTTGTACAATGGTGTCTACTCAGTTTTAGACCAAAGTTATGGTCTTCGGGTCTGATAATGGAGGAGAATATGTGAATCACACTTTGGCATGTTTTTTTCGTGATCATGGTATTATTCACCGGACGACTACTCCGTTTACACTCCAAAAAAATGGTGTGTCCGAACGGAAGAATCGTCAAATAATGGAGGTTGCTCGCTCCTTGATGTTGGATAAGTGTGTTCTTAATCATTTGTGGGATCATGTTGTTTTGGCTGCTGTGTATTTGATCAATGGAGTTCCAAGTAGGGTTCTTGATTTTTAGACACCGCTTGATGTGCTACAAAAACATGTTTCTCTTGTTTCTGTATCAAAGCTTCCTATCATCAGAAGAGTAAACTTGATGCATATGTTCTCCGATGTGTCTTTATTGGGTATGCTAACAATAAAAAATGCTATAAGTGTTATCATCCTTCGACTCAAAAAACTTATATTACCATGGATGTCACCTTCCACGAGGAAATTTCATATTTTGTGAAACCCTCTTCCGACTCTCCATTTCAGGGGGAGAGGATGAGTGAAGTGCATATTCGAATAGATGGTATAGATGATGTGTTACAGACAGAGTTGGGAACAGAACCTATTATGTTGCGTGATACTGATCAGTCGGCTACAGATAGTGATCGGTCACCTGTCATCCCCAAAACTATTTCTACTGACGACAGATCAGATATGCCCAGTGAGTTGTCTGTTAGTATGTCTGACGAATTACCTTCTAATGATCGGTTGCCTGCTGCTGGTATGTTTAACAAGTTGCTTGATGATGGTTTGTCCAGTGATGATTCTTCTAACAGTTTGATACAAGATGATGGCATACATGAGGTAAATTCTGACGATTTTTCTACTTATCAATTGCCTCCACGAGCTAATCGTGGAAAACCTAAAGTACAGTATGAGCCTGATATGCATGCCAAAGCCAAATATCCTATCAACAATTATGTGTTTACTCATCGTTTGTCCAAACCATATGCATCTTACATATGTCAGCTATCTAGTGTATCAATTCCAACAAAATTGCAAGATACTTTGTCTGACCCTTAGTGGGTTAATGCCATGAAAGTTGAGATGGAAGCTTTGAAAAAGAATTCTACTTGGGATTTGGTTCCTTTACCAAATGGGAAGAAATATGTTGGATGTAGATGAGTATTCGCTATTAAGCACAAAGCAGATGGTTCTATTGACCGGTATAAAGCCAGATTAATTGCTAAAGGTTATACTCAAACCTATGGGGTGGACTATCAGGAAACTTTTGCTCATGTTGCCAAACTTAATATTGTGCGTGTTTTTCTGTCCTTAACAGCAAACCAGGATTGTCCTTTGTTGCAATTTGATGTTAAGAATGTTTTCCTTCATGGTGATCTTAAGGAAGAAGTTTATATGGATCTTCCACCTGGTATCGGAACATCTCTTGGAAAATGTGTTGTATGCAGGTTACAAAAGGCTTTGTATGGTTTGAAACAATCTCCTAGAGCGTGGTTTTGGAGGTTTACAATTTCAATGAAGAAGTTTGGGTATATCCAGAGTCATTTAGATCATACTTTGGTTCTAAAGCGACAAAATGGTAAGCTAACTGCATTGATTATTTATGATGATGACATGATAATGACTGGTGATGATCAGAAGGAGATACAACACCTTCAAAAGTACCTAGCTACTAAATTTGAGATAAAAGAATTGGGTGAATTGAAGTATTTTCATGGAATCAAGGTTGCACGATCCAAGCATGGTATTTTTTTTGTCTCAACGAAAGTATGTTCTTGATTTGTTAGCTAAAACATGTATGTTAGATTGCAAACCTATTGACACTCTGATTTAGCAGAATCATCGGCTGGGCTTATTTCTAGATCAAGTTCCTACTCATAAGGAACGATATCAAAGGCTTGTGAGGAGATTAATTTATTTGTCTCACACTCGCCCTGACATTGCTTATGCAGTTAGTGTGGTAAGTCAGTTTATGCACTCACATAGTGAAGCTCATATGGATGCAGTAACCCGTATTTTGAGGTACTTGAAAATTGCTCCTGGCAGAGACTCGGTTTTCTCCAAGAATAGTCATTTGAATGTCGAAAGGTATACAGATGCAGATTGGGCAGGTTCTATCACTGATCGGTGATCTACATCTAGATACTTTACGTTTGTGGGTGGTAATTTAGTTACTTGGAGAAGTAAGAAATAAAAAATGGTGGCTAGGTCAAGTGCAGAAGCTAAGTTTCGTAGTATGTCTCATGGTGTATTTGAGTTGTTGTGGTTGAAAAAATTGTTGAAAGATCTTAGGTTTAAACCCGATGGTGCTATGAAACTTCATTGTGATAACAAGGCTACTATTGAGATTGCTCATAATCCAGTGCAACATGATCGGACAAAATATGTGGAGATTGGTCAACATTTCATCAAGGAAAAGTTGGATGCTGGAATTATTATGTTTCCATTTGTGTGATCTGAAGATCAACTTGCTGATGTTCTTACTAAGTTGTGTCTAGTAGTGTGTTTTCCAACTCGCTTGACAAGTTGGGCATGCGTGACATCTTTGCACCAACTTGAGAGTGAGTGTTGCGAGTTATATATTAGTTAAAGTGTAAATAGTAGTTTATTGTCTTATATTGGTGAAGTACATATGTAATACCAATTATAACTCCTATATATACTCCACTTTAGAGATTAATGAATATATAATAATTTCCAAATATTGTCATATATATTTTTGGTATTTAACATGTTTAGTTTGATAGGACCTTCTTTCACCATCACCCAACGACCTGTCTCCGCCCCGACCCAAATCCGCTCTGAGCGGCTGTAGGAGGAAAACCCACCCAAAGCGACCGAATTGGCCTGGTACTGTTTGGGTTAAAAACTGAACTTTAGGCCCAAGGATGGAGTCGGCCCAAAAGAAGGCCTGGAGGAATAGAAGATCAAAGCCCAGCCGAGACTTGGGAAGGCAGGAAAGGGCCTTTTCTGACTTGATACAATTCACAAAGGCCACTTGCCTACCTACCCAAGGACCAAGTGGTATAGACTGATCAGACTGCACAGCCCATAAAGTACTTTATGGTGGCATTACATGTAATAAAGCTGATGAGTCATCACCCTCAGACCGCATTCGGGCAAAGCTGTTGCTACATGAGCCAAACCGAGTAGTCTATAAAAGGAGGAAGAGAAGGCAGGAATAAGGACACTCAAACAAACAAACAAAAGCACAAACTCTGCTCAAAAAGCCAGATTTGCCTTCAAACGAAGCTGTAGTCAGCCCAAGCTTTCATCCCCTTCGGGATAATCTTTTCTCCTAAACTTTGTAATAGCTCTGCTACCTTGTTCAAACTTGTTGTAGTATCGATTCACCCTTTTGTATTCTCCTTTCCCCTCTCCGCCTAAGCTTTCAGACCTTTGACAGAACCACAAAGATAGGGACCTGCAAGACGATCAACCTTAATTGATAAGGTTTAATCTTGCCCGACCTGCTTTGTTCTGTCTTTGTCTTTTCTTTCTTTAAAGTCTAGCGATATGTTGTATGTTTTTAGTTATATGCAAGTTGTTCCTAGCAAAATCACGATGACAAAGCTTTCTCAACACTTGGATCTGATTTAAATATATCTTCAATGCTTAAATTAGATCCAAGTCCTAAGCCCGCAGGCATGTAAATCTGATTAGTTTAAAAGTCCTTGGCCTCAAGGCATAAAAAAAGAACTTTATGTGGACTTAACCCATCCACGACAATCCTTGATAAACGAGAAGTCCGAAGTTACTTGGGGCGCAAGTAATCGACCTACCTTCTAGTTTTCTTTCTATTATATCATGATTATCATAGAACGCTTAAGCATGGGATGAACTCTAATGGAAAGCCTCAAGGCCTACACTTAAGGCCCCACAAAGGCATCCATTTGGATTCATCCTATTCAGCGATCTTAAGAGTCTAAGCATAAGAATGAACTCTGATGGGAAGCCTCAAGGCATACACCTAAGGCCCCACAAAGGCACCCATTTGGGTTCGTTCTATTCCTTGGATTCGGGTAATCAGAAATATAATAGTTAGAAGACTCCTACAATCACAAGAATACATATGATGCGTTCGAGTACTGGTTTAGTTATGTACGGGAAGCCTCAAGGCCTACATTTAAGGCCCCACAAAGGCACCTGTTATAACTAAACACGGTTTCTTGGATTCATTATATATATACAATGAAAGAACGACAACCATTTTACATCTGCCATGCTAAAGATGGCAGTGGCACGCCTGAGCACCTAAATGTTAACCTTGATTGTGAGCCTCAAGGCCTATACCTAAGGCCCCACAAAGGCACCTCTCAAAGTTAACTCTGTCTTTCTCTTTCAGCCTTGCCCGAAAAGTCTTGCCCGACGAGACTTGCCCGACAACGCCCAGAAACGAAGCAGAAGCCCGACAGCAGCCCTCAACCGACGCCAACCTCCAGGGGAGCTGTGTGCTCGTCGGCCAGGAAACATCCCCAGCGGAAATTCCTGCCACGAACATAGTTTTGGCACGCCCGGTGGGATTCAAACTTCCAGATCTTGCATGTCCAAAAAGAAGAACCATAAACTTGATAAAAAGAATCCAAAGGAAGGTCTTCTCCAAATGGCAGAACAATCAAAAAATCCTTCTTCCCCATCTGGATAGGTGGCTCCAGATAGCCCGGCTACATCTGAAAGATCACAAGGAAAGGGAAACAATGAGGAGCTACAAACTACAATGATCCAAGTGTTAAAAAGCATGGAAATGATCTCCCTAGAAACAAAGGGAGAAGTAAGCAGACTCTGTATGCTCACAGGGAATCTACAGAGAAGGCTTGATTTGGAGTTCTCTACTCCAAAGGATGCTCAAGGAAGTGGAATGAGCCGGGTTATCACGAGAGATGAGCCAATCATTCCCTTATTCCCACTACTAGAAGAAACAGGAGATAGGGGAAAGAAAAAGGTAATTCTTGAGGGAAGTCAACCAGCGATGGAGCCGATCCCAAAGACAGAGTTTCTTAGTTTCCCATTATTATCATTTAATAATAAGGGAAAGGACGAACAAGAAAGGATGAGGTACGGAATGCCAGGTATGATGGGAGAAACTAGTGGAAAAGAGACTACCACTACTACTACCACTACTACGTCAGATAAACCTCCACCCTATAGACCGCCCCCGATGGTCAATAAAGGTGGAGGATCTAACTGGAAGAAACCCGAACCAAGGAGGGAAGCGAATGCGGGTAATGACCGGAGCCCGAAGATTGGATCAGCTATCCTCGGTCATAATGATAATTTAGCCACTCAATAACTAAGGGAGGAATTGGCTGAGTTAAGAAGAACGGTGACTCAAAATGCCCAGCCGCGGGCTCGCCCAGTGTTCAGGATTACTTACCAGAAGCCGTATCCTGAACATATTGACGAGCTAAATCCATTCCCTCTCAACTTCAAGATGACCGCATTCCCCACCTTCACAGGTGAAGACAGCAGTGTGTCTTCCAGAGACCATATTTTCAAATTCTCCAATCACTGTATGGCGTATGAGGACAATCCAAACTACAAATTGAGGTTGTTTGGAAATTCGCTGCCAGGACTGGCGTCTCAATGGTATTCTCTATTACCCCCCAACTCTATTGCCAACTAGGGGCAAATAGAGATGGCTTTTCATGAACAGTTCTATAGGATAGAGCCAGAATTGACCATCAATGATCTAGTGGAGGTAAAACAATACGATCATGAATAAACGGAAGACTTCATGATGAGGTTCAGGAGGACCAAGATGAGATGCCAATTCCCCGTCAACCAAGCACAGCTCATATCTATTGCTCAAATGGCTTTAAAATTACCTTTGAGAAAAAGGTTCTATGATGCACAGTTCAGCGAGCTGCAAGAACTCGTGATTGCTGCCACGAAGTACGAGAGGTTGTTGCAAGAGGAACAGCAAGTGAAGCACACTTCCAAAGTCCCTCATTTCTACAAAAACAAGGCTACTATTCACCATGTGGAGGTAGGAGAAATCAGGCCCGAACACGAGGATGGTCGTGAGGAAGAAAATATAGAAGTATGTGCTGCTGAGATGACTACACCCTTCAAACCATTGACGATCAAAGGATTAGTCCAACCTGTCAAGGATCAGAAGATCGTGATGAATGATGGTGGTTTCGTCCCCATGAAGCCCCCAAAGTATCAGAGCTGTTCGTTTGATTTAACCAAGGCACCAGAGATCTATGAAGAGTTGGTACGGGTAAGAGTAATTTTGCCCGACAGTGCCAAAAAGATGCCCAAGCCCGAGGAACTCAGGGGGAAAAAGTATTGCAAGTTGCATTATACCTTCAACCATTCTATAGTTAATTGTGTCCAGTTTAGAGATTGGGTACAAGACCTTATAGTGAAGGGTAAGCTGTTAATTGATTCACCCCAGGCCAGTATGATGGTGGATACTAATCCTTTCCCGGAGGCTCCTATCAGTATGATCAACCTCATTTTTAAGGAGTCGGGGTCATCAGCTGAGTAAGAGTGCCATGAGGGGACCAGAGGACCAGGGACAGATTCTAAGGTTGTCAACCATAAAGGTGGAGAAGAAAAGCAAGTAGACAAGGGGGCAAAGAATTGCCCAAGGCCAGTTCGAACAAAGCAAAGCAGGAAGCAAATTACATATCCATTCCAATATAAAAAGGGAGTTACAAATCATTCTATTCTAAAAACTTTACATCTTTACAAAGAGTGATTATTCTAGAATGGTATGTTCGCATGATGGTAAAAATTCTATTAGGTTCGGCTAAGACAGTATGATTGTTTACAAGTTCGGACTTGGCTTGTTCTAATTCCGAAGATGCCTTTTCTACCCCTTCGATTTGATGTTCAAGTTTGTCTAGAAGAAGTGCTTGTTCTGCTTTAAGGACAATCAGTTGCTCTTCCAGTTTCTGGATTTCAGAAGAAACCACTTTAACTCTTTCTTTAGTCTGCATGCTTGCTTCCATCAGTCGGTTAACTTGGGTAGAAGAGTTTGATTCTTTTTCCATAAAGCATTTTGCCCGGTTAGCCTGTCTATCCGCTCTCTGGTATTGTTCCCTCAGAGCCCTCAGGTTCTCGAAGAAAGAAAGAAAGGAATCGTGCTGAGGCTTGGACAAACGACCAGTTTTGAAAAATTCAGTTATGACCTTCTCAAGATCACAAAGAGCCTTGAGACTAAATGACACGGTGAATTCCTTCTTTGCCCATTCCTGAAAGATTTGCTGTTGCTCCGAAGACATGGAGGTTGCTGAAGGCTGCGTTGAAGATTTCAACCACGTCTCAAGTCGCCCGAGTGCTTCAAAGAGTTTGGGCAGCTTGGCAGGATCAGAGGATGGGAAAGGAGGAGGGTCCGGCGTGATAGTTCTCTCCGATGAGACAATGCCTATTGAGGGGGTAATCTCTGTCTATTTAGTCTGCTCAACTCCAGAGGGGGAAGTACCAATACCTCCAGAAGATGAATGAGGATGGGGGCGCTTTGATTTACGAGCTAATGGAGGAGGGGAAGTTTCTTTTGAAGCTTGCTACAAAAACCAAAAGACTCGGTCAAGATAATCTGAATACAGGTTGAAGCAAATGAGGTTCTGGAGAAAAGAAGTTTACCTGACTCAGCCCCGGAGTTTCACCAGAGAATGTACTAACCCTTGGTTGGGGAGAAGGTTCTTCACCACCGGCATGAGGGGAATGAGCTGCGCCTGAACCTGTACCTGCATCCTGGATATATCCAAAGAAATGAGTAATTATCAGCAAAAGGGTCACCAGAGGAAGAAGCAAGAAGAAAACATTCCAGTACCTGAGCCTGATCTGGAGGAGGAGAAGAAGGTTCATCAACTATCGGGCGAGCAAACGCCTGCGAAGTCGCTGCATCTGAAGCTACAAGGATCTCAGGAACTATGGGTTCTTTATCCGAGACCACTAGTGAGGGAGGTGGCTCATATACTGAAGATGGCTGCAGGAAACATAAAAAAGAGTTAATTGGGTAGCAATGCGCAGAATTTCAAGGAGGAAATAATAATTTACCAAGGGATCATCCTCATCCACGAAGTGCAATATAACTCCTATGGACGGATCGAATTGAGGGGAAGGGGTCGCATCCAGAGCAGTGGAAGAAGTCATAGATCTCAGATGGGGTCCATGACTAGGCAAAGAGGTAGATGCACCAGCCTAGGAAAACAAATAGAAAAAAGGAAAAGGGCTTAGCTATTAAATCCATAAAATTGGAGGGTTAGAGGTAGGGAAAGTACCTCAGCAGGATTGGTCTCAGAAGGGGAAAGATTTTTCTGTTGGACAGGTCGTGGAGAAGCCTCGGGCGAAGAGAGCATTTCATTTCTCGCAGCCTGATCAGAGTAATCAAATTCAGGGTTGTATGAAAGTAAGAAAGTATACAATAATATCAGTCATACCTCGAGTTCTCGAAGGGCGGTGTCTCGCAATTCTTCGGCCTTTTTAAGCATAGCAGCCCGTAGTGGTTCTTCCTTGGAAGCAAGGATTGGCCTTTTATATGCTTGAGGTCCTGTTGATCGATGAAATGGACAATTAGATAAAGGAGGAAGGCAGCAGTTCAATATAGAAAAAGAGAAACTCACTCGAAGATTGTTGTTTCTTTCTGCCTGCCTCAGGAACTGGAGCAGAGGTGACTCCTGATTTAGAAGAAATAGTAATCCTTGCCCGCTTACTCTTTCGGGTAGGAATTGGTCTTGTGGTTGTCGGAAGAGGTGCTGGATCAGGGTCGGAATCTTTAGCCATGACCACTTTCTTTCGCTTAAGGGCTTTGGTGATTGCCGTGGGTGTTCCTTCAACCCCTGAATCCCCAATGGATTCTGAGATGTCCGTCCCTTCCCCGGCTTCTCGTCTCTCAGTCTCTGCGGCAGCACCATGAAGAATTGCAGCATCAGCAGAGTCATCTTCGGATTCAATGACTTCCAATTCAACATCCACTGGAGCTGCAGAAATCAGCAAAAGTAAGAATAGAAGGACTTCAGAAGGGAAGCCAAAGCAGGTTGAAAGAGAAGTACCTATCAGAAGTAACCGGTTTTTCTCTTGAATCATCTCCTTCCAATTTGCAAGCTCGCCCGAGCCAGGATATGATTTAAGAGAAAGCTGGCTGAAGATGCGATCGTGATTCATCTTTAAATCTCCTCCATACTTTTTAGTCCATTTCTCCTCCCACCAAGAGGAGAACAGCGAGGTACATTCAAAATTAAGAACAACGGGATGTCGGGCTGCTTGACTCATTACATCCAGGCTGCGTCGGGCGGCTCGGAATGTCACTTCAGTTGGGGTTTATAACCGGAATGAGGTGCCACAATGGACAGAGTCGAAGAATGGGACAGGTATAGCTTGCCTAAATCCTAACTGCCGACTGCAGAAGTCAGGATGGTACACCTCCAAGCCTCGATCACATCTATTGCCCCGAACCCCCCAGGCCAAGTCTCTTGGTTGAATACAACTGATAAATTTTTCTCTACAAAAGGAGGTAGCATCCTCACCAGGGGCATCTTGGAAGGCTTGGTCAGAGAACCAAGGGTATCTCCTCAAAACTGACGCACCCCATTCCAAGTCTGATCGAGTCCTGCAAACTCTGAAAAAGTAAAAGCAGGCGAATGTGGAATGGTCTGTAGGAGGAGCTTCTGCTAGAATTCGGGCAGGAACCACACCCTCTGGAAACTCTAGATTGGCAGCCCGAAATTCTGGAAAATACCATTGCAGCCAGATTTGTATCATCCAGATTGGTCCATTCAAGTTGGTCTCGAAGGGCCCATCCCGAGTCATTTCAAAAAGAAGGTGATAAAGGTGGGAGAGAAGAAATTGACCTGTGGCTACATCATCAAAATTATGAAGAACCTCCACCAAGGGGATCCATTCTACCCTCACTCCCTTGGATTTGTTGGGGAAGACATGCTTATTGAGCCAGTAAAGGAGAAAGTACATATGCTCTTGATTTTTGTCAGCCCGAGGGGAGCCTACTCCAAAATTTTCCTTCACAAAAGGGATGAATCCCTTAAAGGCGGTCCCATAGCTCTTGAAAGTAACGGAGTTATAGCTCAGAGGAATGAAGGTTGTGGAAGAACTCGAGCTCCCGGTGGTAGAAGACGGGACCCAATCTTGAGAAACATCTACTATCCTGCCTGACGGCCTCAACCCGAAGACCTGGGCCATATCAAGAATGGTGGGAGACATAGGGCCTATACGAAAATCGAAGGTATTTATGCCCGTATTCCAAAAGAGGAGAGCAGAAGTAAGCAATTCGGGCTTAGGGATAATGGAAGTCTTCGAAAGCTTGAGCAGTTCATAAATACCGTTATTCATCCATTTCTGCTTGAAGAAAGGCTCTAATTCGTCAACCCATTAGGCCCAGGTGGGATCATTCATCAAGGGAAATCCTCGACGATATGATGACCATTTCGAGGAGGAAATGCCCGACCCAGCCAGATAGAGATTTGGGGAAAACCAGTTTCCCCTGGGCATGTTGTCTTCCACTACTGAGGGGACCCGGGAAATCCAGGCGGGACCCAATGATTGTACCCCATGCGTCTCAAAGAAAAGCTCAGAATGCAAACCTGCCCGCGGGCGATGCAGCCCGTTGAGTAGACGGCGTAGGGTGGCGATTCCGTCGCCAGACTCATAAGATTGTGGGGTTTGGCTGGATCCTGAAGCCATTTGATGAAGATAGAGAAAGAAAAGAAAGAAAGAGGATAAAGATGCAACCTTGTCGGGCAACAGAGAAAGATAGTGGGGAAGTAGGAAAGTTTTTTTTTTCCCGCAGAAGTTCAATCGCAAGGTATTCGTGGGTTTAATAGGGAATCTCTTTCAATTAATATTGGCGCCTGGAATTCCAGGTTTAATATCAATTGAAGGGGGCACTGTTTGGGTTAAAAACTGAACTTTAGGCCCAAGGATGGAGTCGGCCCAAAAGAAGGCCTGGAGGAATAGAAGATCAAAGCCCAGCCGAGACTTGGGAAGGCAGGAAAGGGCCTTTTCTGACTTGATACAATTCACAAAGGCCACTTGCCTACCTACCCAAGGACCAAGTGGTATAGACTGATCAGACTGCACAGCCCATAAAGTACTTTATGGTGGCATTACATGTAATAAAGCTGATGAGTCATCACCCTCAGACCGCATTCGGGCAAAGCTGTTGCTACAGGAGCCAAACCGAGTAGTCTATAAAAGGAGGAAGAGAAGGCAGGAATAAGGACACTCAAACAAACAAACAAAAGCACAAACTCTGCTCAAAAAGCCAGATTTTCCTTCAAACGAAGCTGTAGTCAGCCCAAGCTTTCATCCCCCTCGGGATAATCTTTTCTCCTAAACTTTGTAACAGCTCTGCTACCTTGTTCAAACTTATTGTAGTATCGATTCACCCTTTTGTATTCTCCTTTCCCCTCTCCGCCTAAGCTTTCAGACCTTTGACAGAACCACAAAAATAGGGACCTGCAAGACGATCAGCCTTAATTGATAAGGTTTAATCTTGCCCGACCTGCTTTGTTCTGTCTTTGTCTTTTCTTTCTTTAAAGTCTAGTGATATGTTGTATGTTTTTAGTTATATGCAAGTTGTTCCTAGCAAAATCACGATGACAAAGCTTTCTCAACACTTGGATCTGATTTAAATATATCTTCAATGCTTAAATTAGATCCAAGTCCTAAGCCCGCAGGCATGTAAATCTGATTAGTTTAAAAGTCTTTGGCCTCAAGGCATAAAAAAGAACTTTATGTGGACTTAACCCATCCACGACAATCCTTGATAAACGAGAAGTCCAAAGTTACTTGGGGCGCAAGTAATCGACCTACCTTCTAGTTTTCTTTCTATTATATCATGATTATCATAGAACGCTTAAGCATGGGATGAACTCTAATGGAAAGCCTCAAGGCCTACACTTAAGGCCCCACAAAGGCATCCATTTGGATTCATCCTATTCAGCGATCTTAAGAGTCTAAGCATAAGAATGAACTCTGATGGGAAGCCTCAAGGCCTACACCTAAGGCCCCACAAAGGCACCCATTTGGGTTCGTTCTATTCCTTGGATTCGGGTAATCAGAAATATAATAGTTAGAAGACTCCTACAATCACAAGAATACATATGATGCGTTCGAGTACTGGTTTAGTTATGTACGGGAAGCCTCAAGGCCTACATTTAAGGCCCCACAAAGGCACCTGTTATAACTAAACACGATTTCTTGGATTCATTATATATATACAATGAAAGAACGACAACCATTTTACATCTGCCATGCTAAAGATGGCAGTGGCACGCCTGAGCACCTAAATGTTAAACTTGATTGTGAGCCTCAAGGCCTATACCTAAGGCCCCACAAAGGCACCTCTCAAAGTTAACTATGTCTTTCTCTTTCAGCCTTGCCCGAAGAGCCTTGCCCGACGAGACTTGCCCGACGATACTTGCCCGACAACGCCCAGAAACGAAGCAGAAGCCCGACAGCAGCCCTCAGCCGACACTAACCTCCAGGGGAGCTGTGTGCTCGTCGGCCAGGAAACATCCCCAGCGGAAATTCCTGCCACGAACAGGTACACCAGCAAAGACACCCGCCTAGAGAAAGTTAAGGGCATCTGTGAGGGCCACAAAGAACCGCCACGATCTCTCGTGCAGTATTGGGCTACGAAAAACCTAGCAGACATCACCTCCTTCTCAGCTTCGTCTCTTTCATCGAAGTTTTTAGTTCATCTCCTGCAACCTTTTTGCGTCCTTCGTTTGCATCCCATCATCATCTCCAATCTCTCTCATAGATAGCTATTATCCCCAAATCAATTGATAGTTGAAACCCTAAAATCCCAAATTGGCCCCAAATTCCTGTTGGGATTCTCAGACGAGTTCTATTTGCAGGAATCATCCAGAGTTCAAACATGGTACGATCCATTATTTTTGTTTACTGGAATTTGGGATTGGTTGTGCTTCAACTCCATGGCGAAGATGTAGAGAGTTTGTAGGGACGAGAAAGCTACGGAGATTTCTTAGATGAAGTGTGATTGAAGGGGCGGGGTGGGTGATGGCCGGTGGGGATTCTCAGGAAGACGAAGGGGATCTGAGGATTTTTGTTATTTATTTATTTTTAACTTTTCTTTAAATAATTATTTTAATATTTTAAATTTTTTATTAAGTGTTTAGCCACGTGACATAAATGTGGATGGAAAATATAACGAATATATTATATTGAAATAAAATAATACTTTATGTATGAAAGTGAAATGTTCTAAAGATATTGTAAGGAATTGAAATCGACCTCAAACTTAAGATGGTAAAGTGTAATTTACCCATAAAATATTAATAGATGCAGTAGAAATAAGTTGATTTTTTTTTTTCTAATCAAGTTCTAGAATTTTATTGGTGGCTTTCTTTGACTAATATATTTATGCATTGATTTTTTTTATTTTATGCCATGCAATTGAAAATTAGTATTTCAGTTTCCTTTCACATGGACAGCATCCATTGAAAACTTCAAATTTTGTCCCAACTCCTTTAGATATAGGGGTTAATTTTACACACGTACCCTCCCTCCCAAATCTATAAATACCACCCTCTGGAGAGAACATTTTGTCACATCAACGTTGATCATCCTCTTTGCTTCCTCATTTCATTCTTAATTTCCTTGATTCTTTCTAAGCTCTTAAAAATCATCATCATGGGTGTCCTCACATATGAAACTGAATACGCCTCCGTCATCCCCCCAGCTAGGTTGTACAATGCTCTTGTTCTTGATGCTGACAACCTCATCCCCAAGATTGCTCCACAAGCAGTCAAAACTGTTGAAATTCTCGAGGGAGATGGCGGTGTTGGAACCATCAAGAAAGTTAGCTTTGGCGAAGGTTTGTTTAGTTTCAACTATTTTCTCCATTAACTTGCTAATTTTACCTATTTAATATATATACACACACATATATCTCGACAATACTAGCTAGTATCTTAATTTCTATTTCATTTTTCTATTTGACAGGGAGTGAATATAGTTATGTGAAGCACAAGGTTGAGGGAATTGATAAAGATAACTTTGTGTACAGCTACAATTTGATTGAAGGAGATGCCATTTCTGACAAAATTGAGAAGATCTCTTATGAGATTAAGTTGGTAGCATCTGGCAGTGGTTCCATCATTAAAAACATCAGTCATTACCACACCAAGGGAGATGTTGAGATCAAGGAAGAACATGTCAAGGCTGGCAAAGAAAGGGCCCATGGTTTGTTCAAGCTTATTGAGAACCACCTTGTGGCCAATCCTGATGCCTACAACTAAAACCATCGCTCTGGCAACAATCTTGTGCCTTGCTTTCTTTCTCTATTTATTCAGATGTGTGGTTCAATTTACTATCGTACCAAAACAAGTCTTTGACTTGCACTTTGGATATGATTAAAGAATAATGTTGTATTTGATTTTTAATCTGAATAATAAAACATGTACTAGTTATATGTAAATTATTTGATGACACATTTAACTTGGAGTAATATTTTTCCCTTGCAATATCATGAATTTCACATTCAATCTGCTATGGGGTAAACTCAATTACACATAGAAAGGAAAAGAAAAGTTATACGACTAAATTAGACCAATTAACTCAAAAGTCAACTGTTTGGGTTGTTGGGATGCAAGGTTCTTATGACAAAAGAATAAAAGACCACCAAATTCCTTGGGAAAAAAAAAAAAAAAAAAACCCTCAAATTAACAAATGAGCAAATGTGGTCTCTTATATGTATGAGTGTGTAAACTTGACTTCAACTTGTTCAGAACAAGAAGTTTGGTCAAATGACTAAGAATAGAAAAGATAAAAAGTCTAAGTTTGGATAACATGACTAAACTTAAATATTAATGTCGAGAAATTTTGAATTTTTCTCTTCCCTTCTTTACCATTATTATAAGTCTAACAAATTAAAAATAAGCAAGTGGTTCTTTAACACAGTGGTGGAAAGAGGTTGAACCCTTGCAAAACGACGTGGGCTCAAACATTTTTTGTGACTAATCTAACAAACTCTATCATTTGATAAAATAAAAAAACAAATTAATAATAAAAACCTAATTAAAATGGGCCCGCCCACCTATCTCTCTCTACCACCTTTTAATTTGTGCTATTGTCATTTTACACTAATAAAAATAATTAATGGGTCGCACGGCTTTACCAAAAATAATTGGACAAAAAATCTATAACTGCTCGAAAATTGATCATTAATAGATCAAAGGGTATTTTGTGATAAAACATATAATAAAAATCAATAAAAATTAAAAAGAAATTAACTTCCAAAGAAAAGAAAACGTGCAACTAGAGTCCAAATTGAAGAAGTTTTGTGAAATGAGAGATAATATTCAAACCTATGATATAAAAAATCCACTTTCTATAAACGTGGATTCAAATCCCTTCACATGTTTCGTTCCTCGAAATACTAGTATGGAAGCTCATAGCACGATCGATTATGACGAGAAACTGATGGGGTGTTTGTGAATGTAGGGAAGAGGAATTCTCAGAATTTGGTTTTGTGTGGGCGAAGTGTGGGCTTTGAGAGCAAGCCAAAACTAGCAGGTGATTTGATGGAATCGGAGAAGGAACTTCCCAAGTTGAAGTTATTTAATAAATCTAAACAGTATAAGTTGTAATATTATATTTATAATTATTTGTAATTCAGTTTGTATCGTGATCACTCCAAATTTTTTTTTTTTTTGAAAATAGAGTACGATATTCATTAATAATAGAGGAATACGTACAAACAAAGAAAATAGTGCATATAAAGGGTCTAGATAAAAACCTTGTCGAAGATTTCAACCCGGTCTAAGAAAAAAAAAATTTCAACCTTGTCGAAGATTTCAACCCGGTCTAAAAAAAAATTCATGGTTGTCTAATGTATCGAAAATATTAGCATTTTTCTCTTCTTTTTTGTCCGAGACTGAATAATACTGAGCATTTGGACCTCACATTTTTTTTCATTATCAGACTTTCGGACATAATTGTGTGCTATTCAATATTCATTTGAAAATGACATATGCAATCCACATATTACTTGGCATTCAGAATAACTAGTTGAATTTTTATAAATAAATTATATTCTACTGGTGGCTGAATTTCTTTGACTAATAAATTGTTGTACGGAATTTGAAAATTATATGTTTCCCTTTTCACATGGACAACAAATATTGAAAAATTGGAAATTTGTCTGAACTCCTTTTGTTAGAGGGGCCACTTTCCACACATACCCTTTAGCTCTAATCTGTAAATACCGTCTCTGGTGCTCACATTTTGTCACACCAATGTCAATCTTCCTCTTTGCTAATTGCTTCCCCTCATTTCGTTCTTAATTTTTTGGATCATTTTTCTAAGCTCTTAGAAATCATCACCATGGGTGTCTTCACATACGAAACTGAATACGCCTCTATCATCCCCCCTGCTAGGTTGTACAATGCCCTTGTTCTTGATGTTGACAATCTCATTCCAAAGATTGCTCCACAAGCAATCAAAACTGCTGAAATTCTTGAGGGAGATGGAGGTGTTGGAACCATCAAGAAGATTAGCTTTGGTGAAGGAAGTGAATACAGCTTTGTGAAGCACAAGGTGGATGGGATAGACAAGGATAACTTTGTGTATAGCTACAGTTTAATTGAAGGAGATGCCATTTCTGAGACGATTAAGAAGATCTCTTATGAGATTAAGTTGGTGGCATCTGGCAATGGTTCCATCATAAAGAACATCAGCCACTACCACACCAAATGAGATGTTGAGATTAAGGAAGAGCATGTTAAAGCTGGCAAAGAAGGTTTGTTCAAACTTATTGAGAACTCCCTTGGTGCCAATCCTGGTGCATACAACTAAAATCGTCTATGATATTGCATGCTATTTATCGTCGGTGTGGATTTCAATTTTTGCTTTTTATTATCATATACCACTACTGGTCTTTGACATATACTTTGGAGTTGTGATCAATAACCATGTAATGTTGTATTTGATTTCAGTATTCAATGCATTAGTAGAAAAAACAGCTTGCGCGACGAACAATATTTTGTTGCGCCAGACGTACTTGAGCGACGAAAAATAAACTTCATCGTGCAAAATAGAGCGATGAATAGTTTCGTCGCGCAAGAACACTTCGCGCGACGAATAATCTCAAAAAATTGCACGACGAATAATCTCTGGCATCACATAAAGTGGGCAAGAAAATGTAGGGTGGCGCGAAAAACTTGCACGACGAAATGGAGAATTTGCACGACCTATAATTCGTCGCACAAGTTCCTGTTAGTTTTGACCATTTACTCCGAGGAATTAATACTGCATTTAATACAGGTGTTTGCACGACAAAGGATTCATCGCGCAAAGGTCCCAACCCACCTATAAATATTCGTTTCTGTTGTCCTCATTCTTCACATTTCTATTATCCTTATTCTTCAAAATTCTGTTCATGATAGGATGACGGATAAGAACAAGGGTGAGACTGTACATGATGCCAACCCGCATGATTTAAGGGATCATTTTGAGTTTGCGCATGCGATTGTTGTAGCCATAGGGAATAATTGTCCCACTGTTGAGTGGTGTTCTTGGGATGATGTACTTGGGAATGTGAAGAAGGATGTGATGGGTGAAGTATTAGTGAGTATATAATTCTTGATGGATTAATAATTAAGCTTGTGAAATTTTTAGTTATATGTTAAAATTAATTATTTGCATTTACGTGTAACAGTGTAAGTATACTCTTGATGATGATAGGAACGAACAGTTGATGAAGTTGATGGATAATGCGTTGGATGGAGGTTACAACCGATGGCGTTATGAAGTCTTGCGGAATAGACCAGGATCATCCAAATAGTAGTTTTAAATTTATGTTTTGTATGACAATATTTAAATTTAAGGTGTTTTTTTATGTTACGTATTCGAACTTAATTATGTTTCAATTATGTATTTGGACTTAATTAGGTTTCAATTCATGTTGGTTTTTTTATTGAAACCTAATGTAAGCACCTTATCCTCGGTTTATATGTGTTTACAATCTTCAATGAATATCGTACTTATGCTGAAAATAATTGTATGGATTAAGTAATTAATTATATATAGACTAAATATTTAAGGCATTAATTATTTATAGAATAATATTTCAGGTATTAATTATTTATAGAATAAATAATTAATATTTTATTCGTCACGCAATATTTTGAGCGACAATAGCTTCATCGCGTAAGGAATCTTT